ACATGGGATCTTCCCAGACCGGGGCACAAACCCGTGTCCCCTGCATCAGCAGGCGGACCCTCAACCACTGCGCCACCAGGGAAGCCCTCTATGAATCTTTTAAAATCCAGCTCTTGGATTTACTAAACAACTGTATTTTAAAATTTTCTAACTGCTTGAGTTCTGCCTCTGCCTTAGTCTGTGGTAACAGACTTTCAGCTATTTGAGTTTCTTCTCTTTTCTTCGTTTCTGTTTCCCTCTCTATTATTCTGCATTTTGCCCTGACATTTTCTCCCTTTTTTGTGGATTTGCCGTAAGGACTTGGTTTTCTTCCAGGGTTTGGGAAGGCCTATAGACCTCTTGCAATTCAACCCACTCTTTTCTCTTTATGCCTCGAAACCATTCTCTGGACATGTCCAGTTGTCTGAAACAAGAATAAAAGAATACCTTTTGGAATCCCCCTTATTTGAGGAAGTTACCAGTAGATTTTTTAAAACTCTCCCTGCTTTTCCTGTCCATCCTTTTCAGTAGTATCATCATCTGGGATGATTTTTATTGCTACATTTTTGGGTTTTTAAGAATTTCATATCATAGATTTCCCCTTTTACGATTTAAAAAAACAATTTCATTCAGGGACTTCCCTGGAAGTCCAGTGGTTAAGACTCTGTGCTTCCACTGCAGAGGGGGATGGGTTCAATCCCTGGTTGGGGAACTCAGATCCTGCCTACCATGGGGCGTGGCAAAAAAAACCCCAAAACTTTCATTCAATTACCTAGCACAATCTACAACTATTTATGCTTACGGATACTTTTTATTGCTACATTTTTGCTTTTTTAAACTTACATACTATAGATTTCCCCTTTTACAATTTTTTTTTAAAAACTTTCATTCAGTTGCACAGTTCAGTCTACCAGCATTTATGCTTAGGGATGATTTCTATTGCTACGCCTTTGATTTTTTAAAGTCACATATTATAGATTTCCCTTTTTAAGGGTTTTTTAAAACTTTCCTTCAGTTCCATAGCCCAACCTTCAAGCACTGCTGTGAGTGGCACCGATACCTGGGATCAATGTTCATCCTCTTTTCCTTCACCCCGTGGCTGCCCCATTACTGAACCTCTCTTCTCTCAGTTTTTGGGCAAATATCTCAATTTTCTTTTCAAGGTAGATAGGGAGTGTGTTCCTACTTTCTTTTTTTTTTTTTTAACTTTTTGTTTTTCGGCCGTGCCACGCGCCATGTGGGAGCTTAGTTCCCCAACCAGGGATCGAAACTGTGCCCCCTGAATTGGGACCGTGGAGCCCTAACCACTGGGCCGCCAGGGAAGTCCCCTGTTCCTACTTGCCATGTCTCTTCGACGGCCCCCTCACCGGCCTCCCCAGGTCCACTCTTCATCCCACTCCCATTGTCCACTTAGCCCTCCATGAAAACATTTCCAGGACGACCCACCATACCGATTCCTCCCTGTGATGTGAGCCAGCCCCTCCCCTTCTCTGGGGCAAGAGCTTTGACCCTAGGAGCCCCCAGTCACCAAGCTGCAGCAGAACCATGCCCTGTGATTCTAGAACCTGCAGTTACTGCCTCAGGGCCTTTGCACGACCCGTCCCTGCCATTGAGAACATGCTCAGAAGGCTGACCATCCTCCATTCTTGACCTTCACGTCCCGCATCCACTATTACCCCACCCTGCACCTTGCACACACACAAACCTCCATGTCCACCCTCCATCACCTGGACTGTTTGTATTTTCTTCCAGGTATTTGGCACTCTTGGCAATCTTCTCATTTCTGGTGTCTATTTACCGCTCTCTGGCCTGAGTCCCCTCCCTAGGACTCTGTCTTCTCTCTGTACTCATCTGCTGAACAATGAAAACAATCACGGACATTGAATGAGTGTCCGCCCGATCTCAATTGAATGAGTGTCTGCCCGATGTCATTTTACTCTGAAAATCCCAGCAGATGACAATTCCTGTTCCCAGTTCACAGGTGAGAAAACTGACACTTGTTAAGACAACAGGTCACAGGGCTTGCCTGGGGGTCCTTTGGTTAAGGCTCCGCGCTCCCAATGCAGGGGGCCCGGAGTTCCATCCCTGGTCAGGGAACTAGACCCCACGTGCCACAGCTAAGACCCAGCGCAGCCAAATAAATAAATAAATATCAAAAAAAACAAAAGACAACAGGTCACCATAAATGCTTAGAAGGGAACAGAAGCCAGTGTTCCAATAAAAACACCAAACCACAGTGGTGCCAGCCTGGGAACCAGGGCTCGGGCAGGGAAATCTGCTGGCTGTGGGGACGAAGGGAACGGGATGCCCGTCTGACCACAGGTCTTTGTTGCCCACACTTGCTGGCTACATGGGGATCCCTGGCCTCATTCTCACTCTCCTGTCCAGGTCCCAGGAGCAGCACCAGCCCTGCCCCGTCTCCCTCCCTGATCCTCCTACACCAGGATCCAAGGGAACCCTCCCGCCTGGTCCTGGAAGAGGCACAGCCACCAGAGTCCCGCTCACTGCCCTCTGGTTACACGTGTGGCTTCCCCAGACTTGCTGCCCTGCGAGGATGCCGGGGATGCCAGAGGGAGAGTGAGGGCCTCCTTCCCCTTCTTCCTGCAGCAGGAAGCCGCAGGGCTCAGGCTGTGCAGTTCTGGGTCTGACCCACGGCCGGGGGCAGTGCTGGTGTGAGAACAGCCTCAGTCTCTCCTTCCATTTGGTCAAAATCGCTTCCTGAGGCTGAGCTAGGTCTGGTGCCAGCTGACCTCTAGGTAGTAAGTCTTCTCAGACGCTGGAGGATGTCTGTTACAGATGCGTACTGCTCTCTCCCTCCCTTCTTTTCTTCCCTCCCTCCTTCCTTCCTTCCCTCCTTTTCTTGGTGGAACCCTCACAGCTAGCGAGAAGCTCAGGAAAAACATCATTGAGAATTCACTTAGGAAACCACCGTCCAGACAAGCAATTCATTCTTTTTTGTAAACAGCTCTGTGGCGCTCTCACTCACCATCTTCGCTCGGGCTGCCATAACAAAATACCACAGACCAGGGAGCTTAAAATAATGCACACTTATTTCTCACAGTTCTAGAGGCTGGAAATATGAGATCAAGGTGCCAGCACGGTCTGGGTCTAGGGAGGGCTCTCTTCTGGGTCAGATTCGGCCACCTTCTCCCGGTGTCCTCATGTTGGGGAGAGGGAGCTCTGGCCTCTTTCTCTTCTTATAAGGACACGAATCCCATCCTGGGGGCCCCACCTTCACAACCTCGTCTAACCCTAATCACCCGCCAAGGCTCTATCTCTTAATCCCATCACGTTGGAGCTCAAGGCTTCCACAATGAATTTGGGGTTGAAGGGGTGGAGGACACACAAACATTCAGTCCATGACATTCACGTAATCGTAAAATTCACCCTTTTCGAATGTAAAAATTGAGTGGCATTTAGCACATTCACAATGGGTGCAAACCTCACCGTCATCTAGCTCTATAACATTTTCATCACCTCCAAAATGAAACTCTAAACGCATTAAATACTCACTCCCCATGCCCCTCCCCCAGCCCCTGGTAACCATGAACGCACTTTCTGTGTCTGTGGATTTGCCTGTTCTGGACGTTTCCTATAAACGGATCACAAACTGTGTGTCCTTCTGTGTCTGGCTTCTTCCTCTGAGCATCGTGTGTTTAAGGTCCATCCACGTGGTAGCCTGTGTCAGACCTTCACTCCTTTTCATGGCTGTGTGATATTCCACTGTGTGGATGGCCCCCATGCTGTGTATCCATCCATCACTTGATGGACACTTGGGCTGCTTCCAGCCCCTGGCACTTGTGAATCACCCAGCTCTCCAGCAATGTGCCCTGTGTCTCCATGCCAACCCTCCCCAATTCTTGTCCTTCCTCCAGGAGGGGCAGTGTGGAAAGTCCACTACGTGACCCCGATATTCCACCCAGATGGAGCCAGTGCCTGCTACGGGAGAGGGGTCTGCCCATGCTTTGGGGACAAAGTAGCCCACCATGACCCACCGTTGCTGTTTGACCTCTCAAGAGACCCTTCCGAGGCTCACGCCCTCACGCCAGACACAGAGTCCTCATTCCATCAGGTGATGGAGAGAATCACAAAGGCCGTGGAGGACCATCGCCGGACGCTCAGCCCGGTTCCACTGCAGCTGGACATGCCGGACAACATCTGGAAGCCGTGGCTCCAGCCCTGCTGTGGTCGGTTCCCCCTCTGCTGGTGTGATCGGGAAGCTGACCCACAATAGCCGCCCGCCCGGGAAAACTAGGTCCCTGCTCCCTAGAGATCTCTGTTGGGGTCAAAATAAAATGGCCTGAGGTCAAGCTGTCTGCTTGTGTGGGGATGAATCGTTTCACCAACTCTAAAGAGAAAGTGTTACCGAATTCAGGTTCAGCTTCTCACCGCTCAGGAATACAGTACTAAATTGGTATAAACGAACTTATGTACAAAACAGAAATAGAGTCACAGACAGAAAACAATCTTTTTGTTACGAGTGGACAAAGGGGGTAGAGGGATAAATTGGGAGATTGGGATCAACATATACACATGACTATATATAAAATAGATAACTAATAAAGACCTGCTGTATAGCACAGGGAACTCTATTCAATACTCTGTAATAACCTATATGCGAAAAGAATCTGAAAAAGGGTGGATATATGTATAACTGACTCACTTTGCTGTACACCTGAAATTAACACATTGTAAATTAACTATACTCCAATTTTAAAAATAAAATTATTTTTTAAAAAGAATCAGGGCTTCCCTGGTGGCGCAGTGGTTGAGATTCCACCTGCCAATGCGGGGGACACGGTGTGCCCTGTCCGGGAAGACCCCACATGCCGCTTGATAGGAGCTGTGCTCTGTCACCTCCCTCCCAGACCCATCCACATCCTTGTCCCTGATACTTTGAAGCCACTAGAGTCTTTGCATTCCTTAAAGTGAATTCAGACCCATAAGATCAAGGCCAGACCCCAGGACTGTTACCCGAAAACTGGGGTCGCCTCTTGGTGGGTGTGCAGCCAAAAGACACAACCAAGCCAAAATCAGGAGAAGGAAGGATTTATTATTTGCGGCAAGTAGCGAGAACACAGGGGCCCTTTCCCAGCAAAATTGGGGAAGCTTTCATCTCAGGGTACATGCATATTCATGGAGGGGGGAAAACGCTTAGGTGGCACATGTATATTCATGAGGGGGCTTGGGTGGTACATGCATATTCATGAGGGGGCTTGAGCAGGGGTGAATTCAGCATCGCACTGGGGCCAAGGTCCACAGAGTCTCAGCTTTACTTGCCTGAAGTCACAGGGTCAGAAAAGGTCAGTATCATCCTCCTCCTTTAGGTCCCAGTGGATCTGGTGGTTGAGGCTTCAGACTAATCTTCACCACTGAAACAGAACTGGGAGACTTTACCACTGGTTTGTTATCTTTGCTACTGTTCCTTCTCTTGCCTGACAACAGTTTGCTCTTTGGTTCCCTTAAGATCATTAATGATCATTAGAGAAATGCAAATCAAAACTACAATGAGGTTATAACCTCACGGTCAGAATGGGCATCATCAAAAAATCTACAAACAATAAATGCTGGAGAGGGTGTGGAGAAAAGGGAACCCTCTTGCACTGTTGGTGGGAATGTAAATTGATACAGCCACTATGGAGAACAGTATGGAGGGTCCTCGAGAAACTAAAAACAGAGCTACCATATGATCCAGCAATCCCACTCCTGGGCATATAGCCAGAGAAAACTATAATTCAAAAAGAGACATGTACCCCCCCCCTCCAAAATGTTCATAGCAGCACCATTTACAATAGCCAAGACATGGAAGCAACCTAAATGTCTATCAACAGAAGAATGGATAAAGAAGATGTGGTTCATATATACAATGTAATATTACTCAGCCATAAAAAAAGAACGAAATTGTGCTATTTGCAGAGACATGGATGGACCTAGAGACTGTAATACAAAGTGAAGTCCGAAAGAGAAAAACAAACGTGGAATCTAGAAAAAGGATACAGATGAACTTATTTACAAAGCAGCAATAGAGACACAGATGTAGAGGACAAACGTATGGATACCAAGGGGGAAAGGGGGGTGTGGGATGAATTGGGAGATTGGGATGGACATATATACACTATTGATACTATGTATAAAATAGCTAACTAATGAGAACCTGCTGTATAGCACAGGGGACTCTACTCAGTGCTCTGTGGTGACCTAAATGGGAAGGGAATCCAAAAAAGAGGGGATATATGTATACGTATAACTGATTCACTTTGCTGTACAGCAGAAACTAACACAACACTGTAAAGCAGCTATACTCCAATAAAAATTAATTTTAAATTAAATTTAAATTAAATTAAATTAATTAAAAATTAATTTTAAAAAAATCATTCATTACTAAGACCTGTTCAAGGGCAAGCATAGTGGCCAGGCTTAGATCCCAAAATGGCTCAGGCCAAAAATGGCTTCTCTTATGTCAACAAAGCCATGCCTGGTTCCTTCTTACCTGCTTATGCAACCTCCCCCAAATAGTACTCCTCGGGGCAGCAGCTGCCTGGCCCCCATCCCTCTTTGCCATTCCAAAACCCTCAGGACAGCCTGTATTTTGTTTGGGTACTTGGCTCAAGTGTCCCCAGGGCTCCTGTTGTGCACAGTTTTGGGGAATCTTGACTGCCTCCGATGCAGAATTTCTTCAACGGATCAAATCTGGTCTCCACCCTTGCCAAACTCCATGCAAAGCTACTCCTGGGCTCCTGGCTTCCTGCCCCTCCCTCCAGGCCTCAATCTGTGTGGTATTTCCCGAGAAGTCCTCCACTGATAAAAGCGTCTGTAGGATAATCAATAACCCAGGACAAAGAGTGAAGCCATAAACAACGCCCAGGAATGAATCCAGCTAAAGCCATCACCCCGTCAAAAACAAGCCAACTAGGGCTTCCCAGGTGGTGCAGTGATTGAGAGTCTGCCTGCCGACGCGGGGAACGCGGGTTCGTGCCCCGGTCCGGGAAGATCCCACGTGCCGCGGAGCGGCTGGGCTCGTGGGCCATGGCCGCTGGGTCTGCGCGTCCGGAGCGTGTGCTCTGCAGCGGGAGAGGCCCGCGTACCGCAAAAAAAAAAAAAAAAAAAAAAAAAAAAAAAAAAAAAGCCAACTAAATCTACCCATGAAAAGGCAAAGGTCTCTGTTCCAAACAGAATCTCCAGCCCCATTTCTATAAATTCCAACACCCCGTTACGCCCCAGGCTTTTGGTTGACACGGATTTCCAATCCCCATCTGGTAAACACTAACCACCAGGCAAACTCCCACCGGTCCGCAGACGCATACACAGAAAGTGAGCTGAGGGGCCAACGAGGCTAACACATTTAAACGCCTCTCCCCTTGGCCACAGAGTAGAAGTCTGGCATCCTGGACCCTCGTGAGTCTGGATTCACATCCTGGTGGCCAGCCTGCAGGTGGAAGACCGGGGGGGGGGGGCGGGGGGGCGGTGTCGAAAGCCGCTCACCATGCCCAGCCCCGGCCAGGATTAATCAGCTCCTTCCTGGCCCCAGTCTCCTGGGAGTGCCCGCCCCGAGAAAGCCACCCAGGAAAACCTGTTTACCAGACCAATTCCCCGGAGGCCCCAGGACTTTAAGCGGATTAGGGAGGGAGGGGACGCCACACCCCGGATCTCGTGGGCGGGCCCGGGACACGGAGTGCTCGCGGCCAAGTCCTGCGCTCGGCCAGGGGACCCACGGCGCACACGGGACGCGCCGCGCCCACCGCCAGGTGCGCGGGACCCCGCGCCCCGGTGCCCACTGGATCCTGGGGCTGGGGGCACGGGAGTCACCAAAAGGCAGCTGGAGGCCGGCTCTCTGGCCTGTACACCCGCGGGACGAAAGCGCTGGGGGGGAAGCGGGCAGTGCTCGCCCCACGAAACGGGGGGCTGGGGGTGGCGAGGAGACCGGAAGGGAAAGGAACAAAAGAGGGCGGGCCGCGAAGAGGAAGGGGACCTGGCGAGCCACGCCCCGGCAGAGAGCGGCCCAGCCCCCCCCCCCCCCCCCCCCCCCCCCCCCCCCCCCCCCCCCCCCC